AAACAAACTGGACTTTAGGTGCGACCTTATTGTCTCCAACGCTCTCCAAAACATCATTTACCAAGGGGCACGGAGCCAAACCGTTACATCCAGTTAAGTGAATCTGTACTTAAAACTTTAAAAATGACTTAAACAATTTTCTGCGTCAGAACAGAAGTGTTCTGGTTGTTGATTGTCTGAATAGTTTTCCTGATTATGTTCAGGACATTAAAAAAGGCGGACCACATGAGCCAAAAATGCCATCCTTTGGTGACAGAGCCTTCAGTGCCTCAGCCCCCACCCTCTGGAACTCTCTCTCTCTGCCGAAATCCGCACTGCTGCATCTCTGGACATTTTCAAAAATCTCCTCAAACACCACCTGTTCACCAAAGCATTCGGCCCCAGTTAACACTTCCCCCCAGCACCCACTTCTTTTTCCTTCATTTGTTTGTCTTGTGTTATTTTCTCTTCTTTGTGTTTTATTTCTCTCTTGTTGTCTCCTTACGCCCCCCTGTTTTGTACTATTGTTAAGCGTCCTGGGGTTTCTTGAAAGGAGCCATAAAAATCCAAGCTATTATTATAATTATTATTAATTAACCTGAAGGCTTTCATCTAATGGCATTTGGTTTTTTATTATTCATTTTGTAAACACATTTCTACATGTATATGCGATAAACAATAATCTCTCAGCTACATTTGCAGTCGACTAACCCACGGAAGAGGAAGAGTTGGGTCCATAAAGGCTTTCTACTGGCAACCTTTGAAGCTCTAAAATATTTCCCATCATCCACAAAGGCTATGACTTTCATTAAAATAAATGGTTAAAGGTTCTGAGATCAGCTGAAGTGGATGCCAAGGAAAAAAACAATTTGTAAGCTGAAACTCTTCATGATCGTCTTGATTTGATGAAAGACAAGAGCTCTGTTGATAATTTGATTCCAGATAAAACCTCTTCAAAGGTAAATTTTGGACTCTCCTGCTTCGTTTTGTGTCCAGTGATGCAGCGTTCAAACAAAACTGAAGATTCAACTGACAAAACACGCATCTATTGTGGGTCTTGTTTTCTGTTGATTCAAACTGTAGACCTTTAGGGGGGTTTCTTACTCAACAGGTACATCAACAGGTGAGCTACTGCACCACTGATTGCATCCAAACATCCTCACATACACACACACACGACCGTCCTCTTACCAATGCACACACATCACACTCTCATCCTCCTGCAGGCCCATTGTGTGTGATGAGATTGTGAAGAGATGGAGATAAATGAGCCTTCATTACAGCCATGATGGCACCAGCAGCACCAGAGAGGAACACACACTCCGCTCCGTCTCTCCTCCGTCCATCATTCAACACGTCCAAGTGTTCTCCGAGCATAAAGGACACAAAGGACGAAGATACACAATAAATATGTGCATTTATATGGACCACTCTTACACATACACACACGTACAAGAAGCACATCAAGGAAATATGTGCATTTATATTGCTTATTCACGCACTCACACCTCTACAGTGCTTCAAACCAAACTGTACCTTACAGCATGTACAGCACACATACACACACACACACACACACACACACACACACACACACACACACACACACAGACAATGGGATTCTGTGTCAGGACACACACATAAGTCCACACACACATTCTGCATGTAAAATGAGCGCAGTGCTGGCTCACCGTTTCAGGTGCATTTGGCCTGTTTAATGATTGCAATAGATTTGTAAAATCAAAGATATAAAGAGTCTGTCTCATTGTTGGCAGTCAGCAGAGGAGGATGTAATTGGATTTTCTCCCTCTTGGTTTAACAGATGATGTCCTTCTGCAGCACAGTACAGAGTTATGAAGCACCTGTACACCCAACACACACACACACACACACACACACACACACACACACACACACACAGATCTGTACGCAAAAACTGCACTACAGCAAACAGTGTGATATTACTGCTGCCAGCATGATACAGTGAACTTTTGTTATTTTCAAACAAAGTAATATTACGGCTCCAAGCCACTCTGTTTCAGTGCCAATATTCACAGTCAATATTCTGTAGCAATACAGAGCAAGAGCAGAATTTTAACAACCTCAGGAGGTGTGTATGTGTGCGTGCTTGAGTGTGTGCATGCTGCTGAGTCACTCTGGGTCCAGAGAATACATTCAGTTTAATTCTCAGTAGGTCAATGTCTTGTTGTTGCCTCAGACAGATGTGATGTGGTGGCACAAAGAAACCTGCAGACAGATACAGGAAGGTCCTCCAGGCATGCAGATCTCACACTCAAACACACATAGATGCTGCACAAACGGATGCACATTAACATGTACACACACACAAACATCCTCAGAGGCCCTGGGTTAGCCAACGTAATGACTTGCAGGTTTTGTCTTTAGACATTTTAATTGCTTCTCTCTCGTCCATTTATCCTCCCACATCCTAATGCTCCTTACTACACCCTGAGAGCTCTGCACGGCCTAGCATTTAGCATCTCACACACACACACACACACACACACACACATACACACATACACACAAACATGGACACTAAGAAACACTAAGAAACGGGAAGCAGACTGTTCTTAAATGAAGCTGTATTCAAACCATAAGTAAAAAGCAATTGTATCGCCTTGCACAAGCGTGACAGCAGAAACATTTTGGTTTTTTTGCAATAATTAAAACACAGAAACAGAAGCCTTTACACATACTGTAGCCTTATGAAAACATGTGTACTGGCCTGCTGTTCCAGCTGTGGAGCTCCTGTCCATCTGTCTCCACTGAGTAACAGTTTCACAGTATCTAACAAGTCACACTAAAATTGGCTGAAAGCTGTCTTACTACAGCACAATGAACCTAAAATAAAGAGATTTTACTGAGATTTAATGACAATGAAAGGGCTTAACGGATGTTGAAAGAACAACACCATGTTGCTGATTTCTTAATGTCTAATTTCATAATTTGTCGGGTTTGTCTGAAATGCGAAAAGCAAACTAATGCTTTTCATTAAAGGCAGTTAGGGTCGATCCTTTCTGATGTTCAATCTGGATGTCAAGAGAATCTTTCACTTTTCTCATTTCAGTCAAAATCGTTGAAGTCACATTAATAAGGGAGTGGCACAAATCACGTATTTGCATACACAAATGGCAGTTTAAAATAAAACACAAGATACTAGTACCCTAATGAAAAGGATAGTGGGCAGTGAGGAAACATTAACCCTAAATTATTCCAACATGGTTTTTCTGGCCGCCACCACCCAAACAACAGTCCCTTTAACCGACCCAGACTCCTTTAATGTGAGCTAGGAGTTACAACGATGATACTACCTATCTACCTCATGGCTAATAAGGATCTGTATCCTCTGACGCCGCTTTAAGCTTAGTGTGTTCCTTAATACAAGAAAATATCACAGAGAAAACATGAAAATAATGTAAATGAATCGTGTCCTGACATTAGCAGCAGCTATGGAGATTGTTCTCTTGAAAAGTCATCAGATTACAGACATCACTTAGCAGGTGAGTTAAATACTGCCAGTAGCTTTGTTCAACCTCAGAAGCCCTGTGAGAGCGTCAGCAGGGAGCAGAACTCAGTCTGTAAGGACTTGGGTTGGGAATCGAAGGTTTGTCACCTCAAGTCCTGGTATGGACAAGGGGTTTAATTGAGGTTGGTAGCTGGAGCGGTTCCTGTTCTCCATCTGAGTACTGCCGATGTGCTACTGAGCAAGACATTGGGACATGACAACCCCCTACAACTCAGGGTGCCATTCCCTGTTCAGCCCCGTCACTCTGACATCTCTACATTAAGGCATGTCTGTATATCCTGTTTGCATTTTCAGGCCTTGAAGTGTGTGTCACAATTACAATGTGAAAAGTTGAATTTCCTTTGGGATTAATAAGGTAAATTCAAATAATTTAAAAGACGCTGATTTAAATTACACTCCAATAAGAGAAGGGATGCCAAATCCCACATTCACATGTATGAAAAGTGTTGGCATTCACAGCAGTATAAACAGTGATTGGTGCATTGAATATATAGGCCTGCTGTACACTTACATTACATTTTTGTGTTGCTGGTCGGAATACTCTATGAGAGAACTTTAGATTTCCAAATTTCTTTAGATTTCCAAATTTCTACCTGATTGTTGTCGATTCTGTAAAGCAAAGCCCAGAGATGTTACAAAGATGGAGGTGTCTAGCTGAGGAGCTAGACTTGTTACAGGTCAGAGACACTGTCTCATTCTAGACAACCTTACCATGACAAATGATCTCTGTCACGAGAGACAGCAGGACTTCAGGTGTTACATTAAGGTGTACATGTTCAGTACTTCAGACCGCTGCATGTTGCAACTCAGCAAGAAGAAAGCTCCCTCCAACAGGAACTTTCCATTTATAATAAGAACTCCAGCCCTTCAGATCCATTAAAAACATAATGTACTAATACTGATATCTTATTCCCCCAGAAGGACATATTACACATTCAAACACTCACTCACACACACACACATGCACGCTCACAGAATTCTGAGAGCGGCTCCAGCCTTGAGGCAGCGCCCTGCCCAGTGATTGATACTCTGATACAGACGTTTTCCTCGCTAACCAAGTCAGAGGCAGCACGAAAACACACGCACAAACCCGCCTGTCATCCCGGCTGAGCTCGAGCTGGCACCACATACATCTCCCCTTCTCTCCTGCTTCATCCATCTCCAGTTCACTCCATTTATATTTCCTCCTCTCTCTCTTTATATCAGCATCTCTGTCTCCTGTCAGGATGGATCCATCTACAACACGTCAGAAGACTCTCTCTCTCTCTCTTATCTCCTTCTCTCCCTCAGCTCTACACTTCTCTCTTAACTTTGACACTCATTTTCAGAATGAAATGACATGTTGCAGAGTATCAAAGTGTACAAATCCTCCAGCACCCCCCCCCCCCCCCCCCCCCCCCCCACTGTACCATGCACAGTCTTTGAATACAAATCCACTCTCTCACTCATCCCTCTAACTGCTGACACACACCTGATGGATCTGTTACTCCTCCTCTGCTGTGCCACCACACCACGAAGGTCACTGCCGGCCGGTGTTGGCTCTTCCTCCTCCTTTCTTCCTCTCCTCTTCCTCTCTTCCTCTCTCCGCTTCGGTCAGAAGGAGGGAGAATCCTTGCAGGAGCAGGAAATCCTCAGGCAGACTGTGGAGCTGCAGCTGAAGCAGAGCGATGCTGCCGGCTGACTGTGCCGTGGAGGAGGAGGTGGAGGGAGGCTAACGTGGCTATGCTACGGTCTGCACCACAGCCAGAGAGCTCCGCCAGTCGCTAGCTCAGAGCTCACCGCAGCAAAGCACAGAGTCAGCAACCTCGCCCCCCCCCCCCTCCCTCCATGCCTGCCTCTCTCTTGCTCTGCCTCCCCCTTCCTCTCCTCTCTCACAGTTACCACATTCCACCTAATAGCAGAATCCTCTCCTCATCATTTAAGTAAAACACCAATCACTCTGCTCAGACACATGTACCATGCACACTTCTGCTCTCATTTCTCTTCAGCTCGGTGATTTAGCTTCATCAAGTCTTAATCTGAGATGAAGTAGACGTCCATTTGTCACTCTCTCAAAAAATGTTTGTGTTTCAGTTGGGATTAACAGAAAGCTTCCAACAGGTCAGAAACTTTATCATTTCCTGTCTTCACAGTATCAGCATCCATCCAAAAAACATTTTATTTTTAGGATTTGAGTTACAGAGACTTCTTAACGGAAGGAAGAGTCTAAGTGCCTTTTCACACCTTACACATTTGGATTGGTTAAAACAAACTCAAGTCCGTTTCCAAGTGAGTCCGGTTCATTTGCGCTGGCGTGAAAGCTGTCTATCAAACCCTGGTGTGGTGTACCAAACAACCCTACAGAGACCGCTTAAAAGGATGGGTCTCCATCCACTTTTTTTTTTAAACTCTTGTGCAGTTCGTTTGTAGTTGAACCAACCTCGATCTGCCCTAACTGCAAGAAGCAACCACCGATGTCAAAGAAGTTTCATTAATGAATGATAACAAAACTGAAATTTTGGTTTTTGGGCAACAAAGTGCGAGAACCCAGGTTTAAGAGGACCTATGGGATTTGTAACGTAATGTAGTGGTGAGTTATGACAACAACCTGACTTTTGACAAGCAGGTGAGAAGAGTCAGTCCAGTCGTCCAGGCTGCATCCATTAACACAGGTACTGCTCAGCTGTGCTCTGCATCCCAGCAAACTCTTTTGTTTTTTTTGTTGAATGTTCTTTTATCCGACCTGTTTATAAAAATGTGTTAAGTGTAAAGTGTAGGATGAATGCCCTTCAGTTTGCTTCTGGTTCTACTTCTGAAGCACATCTGAGTGTCATCAGGAACAGGTGTGGCGAGGCATCACGGCTTGAACACTCGCGCAGTCGAGAGGCTCTACTGTAGCTGCAAATGGACCTGACCCGAGCGGTGGTATCAAGCTTCTTGTGCCATTCGATGTTGGATAACATCCCTCAGGAGCTAATCAGGACCAAAAGAAGAAAGAAAAGTGGAAGTAGAAAAGGTTTTCCGAACCTAAACTTCTGAACTTTTTTATCTTCTTGTATAGAATACTTCAACTCTCTCTATTCCTGCCTCAGCCAATATGCCATCAAAGGCTCCAGCTCATCAAAACGCTACAGGAAGAATTAATTTAACTGGCACCAAACATAAGCTAGAGATCATATCACTCCCATTTTAGCACACCTGCACTGGCTACCTTCAAGTTTTAGAATCTATTTTAAGATTTTACTGATTGCTTTTAAGGCGCTGAAAGGTCTGGCCCCCGGCTATATCACTGACCTTTTCACTTTTTACAAGCCTACTCGCAGCCTCAGGTCTTCTGACAGGACCCTGGTTCCACAATCCAGGCTCAGGACAAAAGGTGACTCTTTCTGTTACATCACCTGAACTGTGGAACAGTCTGTCAGAGGAAATGAGGCTAACACAAACAGTTTCAACGAGGCTTTGATAGAAATCATCTTTTAGTTTTTTTTTTATCTGATCTTTTTGTTATATTTCAACAAACAACTGTTTTTATCTTTCAACAAAAAAGACTAAACCAAACACTCTCTGTGTGCTGTCTTTACAGAAACATATAAGTGTCAAACCCTCACATGATAGACCAGCAAATGTCCTGTCTGCTAGAAAAAGGACTGAAACAATCTATTAACATAATTTGCATTTTATTTTATTCTCATTTCCATTTGGAAGGACTGCTATCTACCTACTGAAAGCTCAGGGCATAGAACAAAAAAAAGAGCTGCTTGACTGGATACAGCAGACAGTAAAGGACTTTTTGTCAGTCATTTGGATGAATTGACCCTTTAGCATGCAAAGTGGCACACAGACCACATTAATGCACACTTCTGACAGCAGGGGAGGCAGAAATGAATCCAAATCCACATGCGGCCACCTTCAGCGCCGCCATTTATCATTTAATGTATTCATCCTCTCCAAACCTAATGCCCTGACAAAGGCAGGCTTATTCAGCCCTGCTTAACACACAGATTAGCCTCAGACAGACGACACACATGCACAGAGGAGAGGGGGGACAGGAGCACAAACTGTGGGAGCGTCAGATATGGGGAGAAAAGGGACAGTTATGGTACGAGACACGTGAAGATCATCAACATAAAGCCTGAGAAAACTGTTCCTGATAATGAGATCGTTAGGTTTTATTTAAACAGATAAATAGTAACATTACTCTTTGATGACTTCACTGTCTTCCTGTAAAATCCTGAAAGCCTTCCTTGAGTTGAGGATCTTTGTTTGCCTCCAACCAGCTGTCTTCAGTCTCTTTCTCTGAACTTTTTCTGATAAAATCTGATAAACTTGTTTCATAAAACACAGTCACAGTTTTTAGTCTTAACTCATCAGTGTTTCCCACAGAATGAGCCTCTACCTGAGTTAGCAGGAGGGTCTTCACCTTTAGTTTTAGGTTTCTGTGTAGGTTGTCATCCAGGTCATGATAAATTCAATGCTTGATTCAAAGGCAACTGGACTTGGTTGGACTTGGTCTTCAAGATCTTTAACCAAGTCCAGTTGCCTTTAGATCAAGCTTCAAAATGTGTTTTAAGTTATATTTTAAAATTTGATTTGTATACATAGCTTTTATCCGTTTTTTTGCAATTAATCACCAAAATTAAACAGTAAATTGCGATTAATTGCATTTTTATAAACATGTTTAAAATTCCATTATTTTGCACTTCAAAATATAATGTTGTTGTGCTTTTATTTTTTAATTTTGTATTGTCTCAAGCCAAGGTTGCTGTACTTCCTGTTTGGATACAAACCTGCTCTTATTTTGACAGAAACTTGACAGGAACTTGTGGTAGGCCAATGGTTGCAACATCAATTTGCAACAAATGTTATCCAAAAGTGAATAAAAAGAGCTAAAAAGGAAGATTAAAAAGTGATGCACTTTTGACATGTGAAATTAACCTTAATTAAATAAATCCTGATAACCTTATTATAAGTAAGTTATTAGAAGGATATGTTTTATAAATGTATATATAGTAACATGTATAACTAACATATATTAACATATATTACTATTATATTATATATTATAATGAGTGTTGCCAAGAGGTTTTTTTTTTTAAAGTCAGATTTTGTGATCATTTATTGCAAATAATCTCTTATATCAAAAGTGTGAAACACTTCTTAACAGTTTGACCTTCTGAATTACACTTCTTTGAGTTAGTTTTATCTATGAGAATTAAATCAAAAGACCATGGCACACTGAAAATAACTTTACTATACTGTATATTTTATTGTGTGCCAACAACGTGTTTCGCCTGTAGCTTCCTCAGGTTTGCCCAGCACTGACATGTTCAGTGTGCCATGGACTTTTGATTTAATTTTCATGGTTTGTTCCTGCTACCGTGTGCACCTGAGAACGTGTTTAGGCTGTGTACAGGGCACCCTTTTGGCCATTAAGTTATATCTAACTTCTTCAAGAGTCCCTCAATGTATGTGTCTGTAGTGTGTTCAGTTTTGACAGCAAATGAGTGGCGTGTGAAGGATGTTGATGATACAGCACAGAGATGATCCAAATGAACCTGCTTCTGAATGACATAGGAAGCTTATTTTATTGAACTCATATTGTTAAGCAGTTGTCTCTGTCTGATACTCGTTCTGCTCAGGCAACATGTCACATGTCATGTCTGTAAAGTCTGGTGAATTGACTTGAATCGAGTCCATATGTACGACCAGCTGCTGTTTAATTAAGAGAGCAAAGAAGAAGAAAATAAGAAACTCAAAGAGTCGCAAACAGTTTGCCAGCTCGTACAACAAACAACTAAAATGAAAAATATAAAGAAAAGCCTCCACTCAGTCGTCTCTAATGTTCTCCTCACCCTCCAACTCTCTCTGTGTTTTTATCACTCGCTTTCCTCTCTCATCTCAGCAAGGACATTCAGTGCATCACCACTAAAAAAAAAAGTCATCCCCATCTCCACTCATGTCTGTTGCTATGGTCACAGTAATAAACCTGCCTGAGCTGCTCCACAGTGACTGAGTGTGTGTACGATGTTCTCATGTCCTCATATGTTCTCTCTGTCAGCTCAATATATTAATACAAAGCAGGATTCACAGGAGTTTCTGAAGCTACGGGATTGGGATGAGGGGCTAGCAGGTAATACAAACATAGATACACATATAAGGGAGCCATATTTACCAGTAACATAAGTGGCCATTGACAGTAATGCTATAGTTTACCATCTGATTTGTTATATTGCAGGTCTGATGTCCAAAATAACATGCCAGTTAACTTTCTTAGCCTGAAACCTTCTAGTAGGGGAATCGATTGGTTGAACAATGACCCAATCAAATCGATGGAGAAACTCTATGATCCCAATGCAGGAAGACAAATGTTTTGTACTGAAAAAAAGAAATGTTTTGTGCTTAACAAATAACCCAATACCTGTACACAAACAGGGAGGATAACTAGGAAAACGAGGATGCTGTCTGAATGAAATTAATTTATATCATCAGCAGCCTGAGACGAGAGTTAGCTACGTCTCTTCAGTGCTGTGCATCCCAGGCTAACTTTTCCTACAGCTGTAAGCAGCTGCTAGCTAGCAAGCGTTGTGTAGTGTTGTTTCTGAAGTCACACCAGAGAAATACCTTTATTACTCAAAGTGTTTTGTCGGTTTAAGATTTTTTAAAGTTGAATTTGATTTTGGGTCTTGTGTATTTGAGGTTGTTGTTATGGACCACAAATCCTCAGACCCTCCTATAAACAATCCAACAAACTTTCCTCCCTACATGTCCCTGGTGCTGCTGCTGGTTTGAACTTCACTTTCTCTTGAAAAGTGTTGT